ACAAAAAATATCGTGAATATTGCAGTGAAAAGTTTTCACAAAAAACGTCCAAAACTAAAAATTTCAATGCCAAACAACCAGAAAATAATTTCACAAGCTGAGCTACAAAAACACTCAAATTGGAGAGGAAGGCAGACCTCAGTTTCAAGTTGTCGACGATGGCCTGCTCTTTAAGTTCTTCCAGAAGTACCAAGTCTTCAACGCCATATTCTTTTGGGTTTTCATGCTCTGCCATCGCCATTGCTCTAAAAATACTGCACTCAGTTGAAAGAGCTCGACTTATCTCTTGAAGTTATTATTGGCTAATACAGAATTAAACACGAGACAATTCAGAAGTATCAAATAACAAGTTGCATTCAAAGAACGCCTCATTTAGGATATCCAATTTATATACTTCCTCTGTCTTAAATTTATTTGTTTTCTCCAGCAGCTTTTTTTAATCAACCCATATCTGCCAATTCACTTTAATTCAGCCAGAATCAAAAATTGTCTCTAGGAAAATTTTGATCCCAATTTTAATCGTTCTCAATTCTCCAAGAAAACCTGCTTCAAAAGCATAAAATCATCCTCCTCAGTACCATTTGACAACCAATATCACGTAAATAAACATCTTCTTGTCTTTCATTCAAACAAGCAAAAATAAAAAAAAAATCAACAAGAATGAAGTTCCTTTCAGCTTAATAGGCCGTTCATTCTATGTGTATACAAAACTAAAGAACCAATTAGTCAACAAGCGTTCTTGTTTGTCATTCGTCATCCTGCAGTCGGAGGTAACAACATTAATCGCAACTTAACCAAACGAAGTTTTGAACAGCTTATAATGCCATTGAATAAATAAAAGTTGGTTAAGGTAGAAAAACACTTTTCAAAAGGCAACCACTAACAGCTGCTGACAATAGACGAAATGTTGTAGTAATGATGCAGCTGACTATGCATTGGAACCAAACTGTCACAGTTAGACGGCCTGTTCCGGTTGCGATGCTGAAGGTGCATGCTCAGTTGTAATCTACAGAAATTCCTCGTTATTTTCCAGTTGCCACTAATTCTGTCAGATCCATAAATTTGTTAAGGCCAAGATGCCTCAGCAAATCTTCTAACTTTCATTATTTGAAAAAGATTCAACAAGTTAAATTTTTAAACCCAAAAAATGTTTTTAATGATATTCTGTAGTTTTACGTGCTATGATAATATTGCAAATGCATTTTGCATTTAGTCCACAACATATTTACGCGCCTATCATGCATTAACTGTTCTTATCCAAATGGCCCTTACAACAGTAAGTAATTTGCTTTAAAGCTTTAAACTTAAATGTATTCAAATAAAATTAAATGCTCTAGAACAAGAAAATTTCAGTACTATTCTTAATCCATATAACTGCCTGGAACGAAACTACTTGCTAATAATGCTTGTAGAAAGAGGATAACCTCAGTTTGCTCACATTCTGCTGTCTGCTTGTCTTTTCTGCTTCCCTTTCTTATGTTTAATGATCATGATCATGTTAACTCTTTGTAGGAGGATTACTAGCTTCATTTCAGAGAATATAACTTCAGATTTTCTTAGCTATCGGCAAAATTGAAAAAAATGTCCTGGAGCTTTAAAAGGTGGGAACAGCCAATAGTAATAGTAGTTCGCAAAGTTTCTTTCCTTTCCTTATACAAAATATTTGGGGAAAAAGTGCTAAAAACACTCTGAAGAGGCTTTCACAAAGTCTATCAGTGCCAACAGTGCTAAATCCCAAAACTGTAATTTTAGTAGAAACAAAAAAAAAAAAAAAA